TTGGTTTAAAAATATAATCATGTATTCATAATCTTTATAAGTTTACCCTGTGAGTTCTAGTAAGGTATTTTAGATATTTTAGATTTTATAGAAACAATCATGTGGTCAGCAACAACAAAAAATACTCTTTACTTCTTCCTTTCCAATAATTATTTCTTTTTCTGGTCTTATTTAAGTGTCTAGGAGTTCAAAAACCATGTTGAAGGAAAGTTGGTGAGAACATACTTCTTTACCTCATTTCTACTCTTAGAGGAAAAGCATTTAGTATCACCATTAAGTGTGGGGCACGGTTACAGTGTTTTGGCCAGGTTCAAACCTCAGACTAATGAAAGGACAGGGTCCTCTCTTTGCCATGTGCAAGTTCCAGCTGGAGGGCAGGGCCCTCCCAGCACAATCATAGCCAATGGCTGAGGTTGTAAGCTTGAACCTATGGTCAGAACACGTGGCTTCACGTGCCTTGTGATAGAGTTTAGGTGCATGCATTTGAGTAGGGTTGAAACTCATGAGAATGCTGTACACAACTTGATCACTTTGCCTCGTGGCATCTGCTATAAAATAAAGACACGGCTTGTGGGCACTGGCGCTGTCTCCGCATCAGGGAGCAGCGTCCCACTGAGACCCAACTTTCATTCTCTTGTCTGTCTTTTCTCAATCCTTTCACCCGCCCCACTCAGGGTCATTGAACCAGGCTGAGCTGGCATGGCACATAAGGAGCCATGGGGCTGAGTATGCCATGGCTGTGCCGGCTCCCCACAATTAAGTTTAAGATTTGCTTTACATATTTGTGTATTTGGGTGTCCCAAAAACATATATACACACTTCAACAGCTGATAGCTTGATATTTCTTTCTTTTCAGCCAGACCACTCTTTGAACAAAGAAAATTCATCCTAAAATGCTATGGGAAGTTTGAAAATGCAGTTGAAGTACAAACACTTGCCTTTATAATTATTCAAAGTGTCTATACATTTTTAGGATGCTGATTACTCACTTAATTTTCATTCCTTTTCAGGTTTAATTGATTTGAAATAATGTGTGAAGCCAGGCTTAGCTTTGACCAAAGAAAATTTATCCAAAAGACTTATATATGGGGATACATAAAAGATGAAGTTTATGATACAAAACCGACAAGAATTGACAAATTGAGGGTGCACAAATACTGAACAAAATGATTCTTGAGGTTTGTGATTCCATTGCTACATGCTAATAGCAGTTCCTAGCCAGAATGGTCATTAGTTTGAAAAAAGGCATTGACAAGAAAAGTTATTCATATCTGTAGATTCTTTTAAGTTTCGAAAATGAACTGTGTGTTAATAAACACTGACTTCATAATCATTCAAAGTGTGTATACTTTTTTGGGGGGACAACCTATATATATGTACAAAATATATACTATGCATTTTGTATAGTATATGTATTATAAAGTTCATATTAATATATACTATAAAATATTTAATACATTAATATATTTTGTAATGAGTACTGTATACTTATACATCTACTTATATAAAAACCCTTGGTGTAACATCATGACCAGAACCACCACCAACTGGAAGGAAGTTAGTCCTGCAGGGGTCGTCTTGGAAACAGCTGTGCCCTCCCACAGCTGTTTCCAGGAGGGTGAGATTTCAGGCAGGAACCCGCCCTCAGAGTGGAGCGTGCAAATGAAATGATTTGTAATGGATCTATTATTGGAGCTACCTTTGGAAATACTGTATCTATAGATCAGTGGGTCTCAACCTTGGCTGCACATTAGAATCACCTGGGAATCTTTTTAAAATCCTGATTTCTGGGCCTCATCCTCCGGAAATTCTGTTTCTTTGTTACTTATGTTGTGGCCCCACCCCATAACAAAGAAACAATTTCCAGAGGATAAGGCTCAGGAATCAGGATTTTAAAAAGATTCCCA